TCGGGATCATCATCTTGATTCCTGTTGGTGAAACCGGCCCTTGGTGTAGCCAGAATCCATGTTTTATAAGTCCTTGTTAGCGAAAAATCGACTGACGGCAAAAGTGTGTCTGTGAACACTAGCGGATAAACTGTAGTGCCGATTTTCTCCAAAATTGATATTCCCCAATAGATCTGGCTGATGTCGCGGCCTCTTCAATTTGATGCCAATATTCTAATTATGGGGGGTACTTTACATGAAGACCCTAAGGCATTTCAAAATTATGAAAAAAATGGCGCCATCGATTTTGATTTAATTTTGTTGTTGGACAGTCTTGAAGGACGTTTAAGAGAATGGCGCAAGTTTCATATTGGTTAAAAACCTTGATTTTTCGAAAATTACAAAAATAAAAAATTTTCGTCGTCTTCCGACAATTACAATTATGAAGATATTTTTTTCTCAATGAAATGTTTTTAAAAAACATCTTCAAATAAGGTCACGTTAAATATTTCGAAAATATTAGTATTACTTGGGACAAACTCAGTAGCCCGTTCCGAAAATCCTGCACTTTGTGATCATAATTATAGAGATGTTTTGAGGCAGATGGAAGCTACGAAAGAGTATGTATATTTCATATTTATTTCTTCGTTTCTTACATTGGTGCTTTCGTTGTAAGTTGACAAACTAATGTTTTATAAATTATTTAATACCTATTTGAATGAAATATGAAATAAAGATTGCTACTTCAATCGCCCGCTCCCAATTTACGGAGTTGGATGCTACCTATGTCAGAATGTCTATTTAATTTCATATTATTATATTTATTTCCTTTTAAATTGCCTTATGTTGAATGTGAAAACGAATAGATGAGCGGCCATTGATGATTTAACCCATTATTGTAACGTCGCACTAATAACAGAAGGCGATAATTACGACTGCCTTTCGTTCGCACTAACATAAACTAATACTTTTACATATTTGTACAATAATAAAATACCATAGTGTTTAATAATTACTATTATGTTTTTCGATCCATTTGTATTCGTTTGCCAACGCTATCCGAATCGTATTATTAACTTTTAATTATTTAACTTTCTTGCATACTGCTTACGAAGAATATTATATAAAGATTAAAAAAACTCATCCAAAATGTTCGTGAATACATTGCGTACTTTATACAATGAATTCAAGCCAAAAACATATTTAATATTTGTAATAAAAAATATATTGCTAGAAACTATTTAATTTTCGCATCAAATGTTTTACGATTTTAAATGAGTTTTACGACAATCAATGACGTGTGTTAATCTGGAAAGAAATTGTAGTATAAATAGTATTACAAAAACATTACTAATGGCAAGAAAGTACGAGCCGTTTTAGCACGAGTTACTTTCTCGCTACTGCGGTAATGAGAAAATTATGTAATGCTGCGCGAAAAAACGAGGTTTTTTCGGCAGAAAAACTTATTACAGGACCCTGGTAACGAAAAAGCGGATAAATCCAGAAGCTAAATTCAGGGGGGGGTCCTCTAACACGTGTAGCCTGAATCCGTGTTTTGTGGGTCCTTGATACCGAAAAATCGATTAATGGCAAAACGTCTGTCCGGCCGTCTGTGAA